GGGAAAAGGTTGGTGCCATGCAGCAATGAAATTCCAGCGACTCACATCAGAATGCCCAAAACAGACAACCGACAGACATGGATGCACAGTACAGCGTAAGTGGACCTGTGTTGCATGCGCTGGCAGTTCTCGTCAAAGCACACGTTCTGGGAAATTCATTATGGAGCACTTCGCTTTGAACGAGACGGGCGTTCAATCCTTCATCGCTAGTCAACCGATCACTCGAGATTTTGTGTGGAACGAGGCTGCTCCTGTTCGCGCCTGAGTAAGAGCTGCAAACATGAATGCACGGACTGGTTGTAGAACAGTGTATGCATGGAATATCTATGCTGCACAGTGAAATATTTTGTGCAGTTCTGAATCTGTTTACGTGAAGAGAAATGACTGCTGCACCATGGCAAACAACAGACGACACCTTGACGCAACGCTATCGTTTACGGAAGCAGAGCGACGAAAGGTATGACAAGAAGAAAAAAAACAAGATTATTACGCGTTTTTGCGCGTATTTATGTTTTCTAGTGCATATACGCAGCAAGAAGCTATTTATATGTGAGTACGTATAGTCTGGTCTCAGGTGATCTTCAGATTGAGACCGAGTGAACTTATCTCAACAATAATTACCTTGCTCTCACAGATTGCACGATGAAACATCTACGATTGGAGTACTTCATTGATATCAAAAACCGCAGTACAACTCTGATGTCAACCACGGTTGCGAGAAAGTCTGCTGAAAAAATAACGCGTGTGAAATCATAATGCGAACGTGCAGGACAGCTTACAAAAATTACTTAATGCGCATCGCGAGTATGCTTGGATGCGCGCAGTAAACTAAAAAAAAATGTTGACTAAAGCTATCGCCGCGTCAGGGCTGCTTGACATATTAACATAAAAATTATTCCCATAGGCGTGCAGTCACAAACATCGACAGCAAGAAATTCGCTCAGCAAAGTAAGCAAAACCGAAACGCAATTATGAATGTACAAAAACATGCTTTCTATACCTCTCATTCACGTTGTAAGCGGAGCCGTCCTTGACTTGTGAAACGCGCTTTGCCATGACGAGTATGCGCCATGTATACGCTTAATATTAACGATATATACGCGATGTCTTTCCCAATCGGTCGAGTTGTCGCAATGATGAGGTTTCGACCTTTTCGCAATGATGAGTCCAGTAAATGGTGCGACGAGAGGCCGTCCCTCCAAATGGCCACTGTACCTGTCGTTTACTGTATTTTACTGGAATTACTTTACATCTACTCTATTCACAAGCATATGCATGTAGAGGAGGGAGGGGAGTCTCATGACATGATATACATCTTCATAATCTGCTCAAACTACCAGTGATAGTCACGTAACTGAAAAAATTTGATGCCTGTACCCCCCCCCTCCCTTAACGTCGGGTCCATGTGAACTCCCCACCCCATAAAAAAATATCTGGCTACGCCCTTGATATGATAGACTAAATTAGCTGATCTTAATTCAATGACGCATAAAAACTAAAATCATTTTTAAGGCGTTTATACAAATCCGCTATCTTTTGAAATACCAATAGTAAAAGCTTCTAATCAAATGTGATCTGGAATTAGGTATTATTATTGCCTCAATATCCTTCACAGTTGTGTAGGTACTATTCTGTATGAGTCCCTCATGTCGCCTAAACGATGGGGTACGTATACGCACACCAGTTGGCCAATAAAATTAGCTTAACACACTTATTCCTACATACAGCAATCCTTAAGAGCCCTTACATGCTAATTGATTGATTTGATTGATTTCTGGAGTTTAACATCTCAAAACAACCATATGATTATGAGAGGCGCCGTAGTGGAAGGCTCCGGAAATTTTGACCACCTGGGGTTCTTTAACGTGCACCCGAATCTGAGCACACGGGCCTACGACATTTCCGCCTCCATCGGAATCCCAGCCGCCGCAGCTGGGATTCGATTACTAGCCCAGCTTGGGCCTCGGTGCAAGCCTCAACGGTGCCGTAAAGGCCTGACCTCTCTCTAGGTAAAGAAAGGGTGCGTGGCCACGTGATGCTGCGCGCCCAATCTCTCTATAGGGAGAGGGCGCGGCACCACGTCAATAAAGTCACGCGCTGACGCGCTGCAACGGGTGCGAGTGGTCTGGCCTTAAGAGAACAAATGACTTTGCGCGCAACACTGGTTGTTTGAAGCTATCATAGAATGTCTGCTACAAGTACAGTTGTTTTGAAGTGCCAACTACGCCATAATTGTTTATTTTGCGAATCAGTGAAGGGCCCACTATGCTTGCGTAAGGCAACACACGAACACATGTTTGAGCACTCTGTAATAGGTGGGCCTTCAAAACACCCACTCATTGAGCATTTCACTTGTTTTGAAGCCTGGCGAGATTCTTTAACGCACGCAATGCTATAGCATTGCGTGCGTTAAAGAGATTCCTTTTACTGCATGAAGGAAATAAGTTTAAACATATGGGCTCACTTTTTTTGGTTAGACACAATAATAATGGCATCTTCTACTAAATGACACTCATATATATTTTTTAAATCAGTTTCGACCATTGGTGTGCCCCTGTGGTAGAACATCTGATTAATACAGGATTAATACAGAGACAGTCTGGGTTCGATTCTCACTCGTACTGAAGTTGTTATTGCTTGTTTTATTGGCAGCTTTCGCCATTTTTTGGTCACGTAAAAGATGGTGTTTTTAGCTCACAACCGAAGAAGCTGACACACACACCACAATTTTTGCAAAACAATAATAAGCACTGTATATAATTTGAACGCAATATAGTGTGCTTAAATGTAAATGCAGGTGAAGAAACAGTCGTTTGTCCGATAATGTAATTTGAGGGCATGATCAAGGCACACACTGAAAGGTAGTTGTAACCTCCCAAGAAAATAACCCAGGAGAGTGACTGGACGGGCTAAACAAGTCAATAACATGTTACTATAATCAAGGTTTCAAATCCGGTATGGTGAAGTCAATAAATTGCGTGCCATATTTAATTATTCATTGAGGTATAAGCCTATCTTAACCATGACGAACCGTGAAAGAATGCCGACGTAATTCAAAAGGTGGGAGCAGACTTTGCATCGCAATAATAAAAATCTCACTAGTAAATACAAAGTTTGTGGCGTTTACTCTGAGAATGACGACATCATGAAGCACTACCGTCATGTTTTGCTGCACAAATTTTTATCTCACGCGGAAAGTGGCAGCTGGCGCCGAGTACTCTTCTGCTCTTGCTTCCAGCATTTCCACCCCACATGTAGCAGCAAAAGTTTCACTCATAGTTGCATCTCAGCCGCATTCGATAATACTGGCCGTTTTTTCAGCCAACCTAGCCCGCATGACTACAAACCAACTAGCCCAAGCTTCCACTATTGTACATTCGATCATTTGTCAACTGTCGCGGTGCCTTGAAAGGAGTAGATTTTTTTTGCTTTATTATTTACTGAACCAACACAATCGGTCATATTTTTTGAGTGAGCAAATTTTGTTACATTTCCTTCATGTTACAGCAGTAGATATTTTCCTCAATCACAACGTTCCCATTTCTTCATCTTAAGAGCAGATAAGGGGGGTGTTGCACATGTCGCTGTCACTGCTTCCCGGTGCAGCATAGAGCATCAGGAAGCAACACATCGTGAATGTACCATGTCTTTTGGTACAATTGCAGAAAAATGAAATAAGTGACAAAGTGCAAAGAGCGCCTCGCACCCCTCACAAGAAGCCCTGGAGCAGCCGAACCCAGACCACACAAAAGGGCACTCACTCCGACCAGGTGTTTTCAAGAAGGCTGCTTACATCAGCCTTCGCGCGGCCTTCTTTCTGCATTAAAGGCATTTGAGAGAGCTGCTTAGAGGCATTTGACAAAAAACTCGTACTCGTGACTTGGGCTGTGCTCAAAAAGTTGGAGTGGTTGTCACTGCATCTTATCACTCATGAACAGAACATGATGGCTAAAGTAGTAATGTTTTACATTGTAATGAGAATGTCCTTTTTTTTTTGCAAGAAAACCAATCATGAGCTTTCCAAAAGGTGAAAAACGGTAGAAAGGAGGTGAATTGCCTGTAACATTTTGCCCCTTGTTCTCCATTTTTTTTCAGTCGTAATGACGTGTCTGCTGAAAAGTGTAAGGAATAGCTTATTATAATATTTGTGGAGCAACTCAGACAAGGAAAGAAAAATGAGGAGACAGGAAAGGATGCCAATCTAGAAATTAGTGTTTTATTGAAAATCCACCTTTCATATATGCACCCTTGGCCACATGACATTTTCAATGCATTGACGACTTCAAAAACAGCATTTCTTTCTTTTGATAACACTAACGACGGTGGGCTTTTTCTTGCCTTTTTCTTTCCTTGTCGGAGTTGCGCCCCAAATGATGTAATAAGTTATAACCTTTCAACTCGCCCAAGAAATAGGTCTCTTAGTATAAAGCATGGATGCTTTTCTGCGAGAAAGTTTTTTTTTCTAACAAGTCGAAAACATGAGTTCTGTTTTTCTAGAGCATTTTCGTACGGAGTAAGTTAACTTGTTAAGGTTTTCATATACTTTTTGGGTAGTTTTTCGTCTAGGTATAGACGGCTGTGTTTAAAATGGTAACGGTCGTCACAGAAACTACACTGAAAATTGTCATTCGTCTATAACCTTCCTTGCTTAGAGGTTAAACGCAATTCAGATAGCTCAAATATAGGTCAGACAACAATTCTTAGCCAACCTGCAATGAGCAATGCATCCGGGCCGATGTATGTAGTCGACCTTGTGCGTATCCACATAAGCAGTCCACAAATGCGACGCGAGAATGTCGACTGGAAGCATGATGAATGTTTAAATTTGTAATAGTACAACAAGAAAGCCGCCGCGATCAACATTCACAGCTTCGCGCTTAAAACGCTGAAGAGATTAGGGCTTTGCTGACCTCTTTGGATTGAAAGGTTTGATACCTATTTCTTCATTCTCTGCGAGAAGCGATACGCCTGAAAGGAAAAAAAAAATGGCGTATGCGCACCCGTGTGATACCAGCCGTCCGCGTCGATAGCGTTCTCGGTGGCCTCCGGTTTGTTCAGGTATCCCAGCATCATCTGGGGCCCACGAACCAAGATCTCGCCGTCCTTGTCAGCAGCGAGCGGCTTTCCGGTATCGAGGTCCAATATCTGCGGAATGCACGTTCGCGTATGCATCCTTTCACACTTGCACGTACGAGAGAACGACAGCTGTTTGCTTCTCAGCATGGAAGCAAAAAAAAGTGGTTATATCAAATGTTGGCCATAGTGTAGACCTCAAAGCAGCGTCCCTTAAAATTGTTTAAAAGTGATAAATTAATGCAAGACTCTAGCTTCTTCTGCATTCGCATGCCACCATAAATACCTGCAGACAAGTAACGTCACCACCAAAAGATTAAAACGTCAAGTATTAGGTTATACATAGTGATATCATTAATAAGGTATCACTTCGTGCACTAAGTGTACCCGTTAATTGCAATATTCTTCACATTCAAGGCATCATTGCGGTGGTCGTCTGACTAATGGGATAAATTTATCGCAAGTAAACTTGGACAGGCTTCGCCATGTTTTCAAATCTTGAGAGTTATTTGCCACAGAACAGTTGACTTCGTTAAGGAATATCGAGCTTCAATAGCCCATATCTGCAACGTCTGACACTGAAACATTTTCGTAAGAGAATATTCCTGCCTACCACGATGTGGGACGTATTAGCGAAACTGGCTGACCAACAGGAAAAAGCACTTACGAAAGTAGAGTTATGGGCCAAATGTCGACAGGCATTTTCTCTTACCAATGATTTCAACAAAAAGTTTTGTGAATACTAGTCATGATGGGAAGCAAAAAAAAAACAAATTAAGGCAGATTCACACTGCTGAAGCAATGGAACTGGGTTTCTCACAATTCTCCTCTTCCTTTCATCTGTTTCTTTTATTATTTTTATCTCTCTGCTTTCACGGTATTTTTTTGTCTCTGTTTATTTTCATTTCTATTTTCCCTCTTTCTTTTTTTCTTTTTATTTCTAGTTCTTTTCTATCTTTGTCGCACGATCTCTCTCATTATGATAGCTCCCTCTTTCTTTATTTTTCTCTCTCTTTCTCTCTGTATGATTCCCTCTTTCATAATCATAAATTGGGCAAGCTGGTGGATGTCCATTATGGAATTAATGACAGCACAATGGGTTAGATACGAACAAAAGAAAAGGACACAGTGCTTAACTCCCAACTAAACTCATTGTTGAAAAAGAAGGAACACATATACAAATGATTGACTCATCAGAAGTGTGCGCATACACACAAGTGTTGCAAGACAACGTGATTCATTTCGTGTTTAGGAAATAGTTGTACTCTTCATCGAGAAGAGCGATTAAAGGATGACTTATGCACTTGTTGTTGGATCTAATAAAAAAAAGGTCTCGGCTGTATCGCACGTGCGCTGATCAACATATCTATATTTGATAGCGGTTTTCTGCTGGTTAAGCACACTTTCGCATGGTCTGCAAGAGTTTCCAAATAATACATGACATGACAGACCAAACGGGGCGTTGCCTAAACGCAAGCCTATGAGAGCATGAGCGGACGATTTCAGGTGCTGCTGTCCCGTGTGGCTGTCCCTGTGACTGCTAGATTTCGATACTTAGTTTTAGGGCCACGTTAAAAAAACCCAGGTGGTCGCAATTTCCGGAACCCTCCATCACGCCGCCTTTAATGATTTTACACGTCAAACCCCAACAATTATGAATATTATAATATTTATTGTTGAATTTCGCGTTGGGGTGCGAATAGTCAAAACGGGCTTTTGATATTTGACACACACAACACAAATTTGAAGTCGAATAAAATTTATAAGTTGAACGTAACAAGCTGAATGTCATTTTTCATCTAAACAATTTAGGGTACTTAAAGCTTGTTGTTGGGTTATTTGGCAACTCGTCATATTAAAAGTAAACTTCGCGCCACTTGCTAATCCCTACCAACACTCACACATTCATACTCGCTTCCACTGTGTGTGATGTTTCTTGAATGAAAGTGAGTGCGAATATGTGAGTGTTTTTAGGCATTCCTGAGTGGCACATTTTTTTTTCAATATGATATAGCTTATACATCCTTACGAATTCTTATGCCAATCGCAGTAATCGAAAAGAAACACGCACAGAATGAATCAGCAGCCTAGTATGGCGTCTGTTACTGCATTTGTGTTTCCTTTTCACTTGAGTTGCAAGTGCGTATGTGCTGGGACGTCCCAACACGCCCCTGTGGGTTTAAAATGCCCGTGAATTATTTGTCATGCAACTTTCTAATAATATATACTGTTAACCTATAATCCGTTGCATGTGAATTCAGTGGCATTGTGTTCGCGACTGTTCAAAATGCTGTGTAAAGCAGGTCCGATATCCACAAAGCTTCCCTCTAGCATAGTGCTGTCAACCATTGGTCATGGCGGCAGTGATCACCCTCCACAATATCGCCCTTAAGGGTAAGTCAGAGCCACCCAATAATAAGCAATGTGAAAATCCTCTTACACTAATTAGCTTTTGTAAATACCGACATTGACTTGATCGTCCGTTGTAAAAGTAACTGTTTACGACGCTGCTCAGTACTTCTGCGGCGGAGTTTACCCATTTATTTCTTTTAGTTAGAGCTATGGTTAACTTTCGTATTACAGGCATTGTTAAGCATGGACGCCAACGCTTATCTGCATGGCCGCCATGACTCAGTGGTTATTATGGTGCTTGGCTTCTGATGCGAAAGGCACGGCTTTGATCCCGGTCGCTGCGATCGCATATAAATGGAGGCGAAATACCAGAAGTCCAAGTACTGCGCGATACCAGTGCGCGTTAAAGAACCCCGGGTTGTCCACTTCAGTGTTTCTCACAGCCTGAGTTGGTATTGAGACGTTAGTTCTTATAAACCATACAACCAAAGACTTTATTTTCATGATGTACTAACAACACCATTATAACTTTAATGTACGCAAACTTAGGCAGGCAGTCTATGATTACGCTTCCTAATCCTTTGACAAATACCTTACTCTTGCTGTTGCTCATATACCCTGCAATTTTTAATAGTATTTAGGAGAGCTCTGTGCGCTTCACTTGTTTTTTAACGGTTAAATAAAATATACATCCTTACAAATTTCTACATCATGAAATTGGCTCAGAACTTTTATGTACGTGATGATAGTTAATAACATTACTGCACTGTAAGTACGATGTGTGATGTGCTATAAATATACCTTTCTAATTAGACAATTGCGTACTTGCAATTGTGTTGGGGACGATTCAATCACAGAACATGTATGTTTTTAATGCTTGACACGACTGATTACCCCACTACAACGAAAGTGTCAAATATTAGATTTTTTTTCAACGCACCTTGATTTCAGTAAGCGGCATCGGATATCCGACGGTCTCCGACGAGACCTGGTGCAAAGGTGTTCCGCTGACCATGCCGCTCATCTCCGTCATTCCGTACACTGCACGAGCACGGCCATCAAAAATATGCGCTCACGCTAACCCTAAAACGTGCAACTACTATAAATCGTCCAATAATCATGCACAATAGAGCCTAGAAAGGAAGAATTCTGCTTTCCATGCCCTGCGCCTTTCGAGCGCCGCTGAAACTCACAGTATAAACGTTATGCCGGGGACTTTGGTAGTTGTTCTGCGCTACTTCTCACGGATTGTCCAAATAAGCGTTGTATAACCATGGCCACTGGATGAATAAACACTCTTTCATCTAGATGCCGTGTTATAACCTTTTGTGTATATAGAATTTCCGCGCATATTGCAGGCAATGTGCTTGTCAGAATGCATTTTATTTGCCGTGTTTGTTAATTTTCACGTTCAGAGAAGCTGTTTTATTCACTGTCTACTTGATCTGCCCTTTCCTTTCTATGTATCTGTGTTAATGCACGCAAATTTCTTTCTTTCTTTATAACGATTCCCGAATCATAAAGTTGTGAATCGTTTGTAAGCGCGTCACCATTGTGTCAACGTAATTTTTTATCTAAATGGTATAGGGTATCCATATTTACATATATAGCTCTACTAATCGCAGTGCTTGAGGAAAACAAGTTACATGATGATTTCTAACTTTTTTATGGAAATTGCTGCATCACTAACTGATATTTGTCAATTTTAGCTGTTTTTCAGTAGAGTTTCATAACTAACAATTGGTCTGGTAATGTCGTTAATGAAGTGTGGAATATGGTGAAGAAAATAAGCTACCGCGCAGCGTGAGAAGCCAGTAAAATTCCAACGTATTTAGACTAACATTATTTACCTCCCTCTTTGGAATAAGGAAGAATTCCACTGTTCGAGCAATAATAAATATGCGAAATATCAATTCTATTTTTTTCATGCAGAAGTATCTGTTACAACAGAAATTACGGGCTGGTGCTCTGTGCGTAGATCTTCATTGAACCGAAAGCAACTTTTCCAGATTGGGTTTATCACTGTACAAAGCAACATTATGGGCGTTTTAATTGAAGTACCTTTGAAGTAGCAATCAATAATCATCTTGTTACCAGTATGGCTTCCAGCTGTGTGCTTAATAGGCGCTAGTCCGTACGCTCATGCATGTCAGTTGGTCAGTAACTCTTAGAAGCAATAGTAATAGGCTGCAATTTTACTAAATTTACTCATAATTCACAGAATGAACACCCTAATGTGCTCGTTTCATGTGTTGCATTCTTTTGAAGCCTTTAGTACAATCACTTCCACCATAAAGGACATAAATTCATCAATGAACATTACAGCCGCACCAAGCTAATTCTCATGATATCCAAGTCATGTTTACAAGTAAGCAAACAACGAATAAGGAATGCATGGCCTTGCCGTTGTAGGCAACCCACTTATGGTCACAATTCGAAAACAATGCCTTAGCAAAGACAAAAAGTGCCTTCGTGTTTATTTATTTATAGCTGTCACACAAGCGCGCTGACGTTGAAGCGTTGCAACACCGGTTGCAACAAAGATTGCAACATTGGTTTTGAGGCTACATCACAGACTTTCCAAATGACCAATCAGTGCAGGCAACAGGATAAGCATGCCTACAATGCCAAATAAACAGGCCTCACCGTGGAAGAGGGTCTCAAGGTTGAATATGCGTAGTAGGTCCTGGATGACCACATCCGGCGTGACACTGCCACCGATGCCCAGGGTTCGTACGCTTGACACGTTTGTACGCTCCACAAGAGGCGACTGAGTCACGATCACCGCAAATGTCGGCAACAATGGAAGGAATGTAGCCTGCGCAAGCACCCGGTACGCAAGGTGGCTTTAGCGTTTTCACCTTGTCTTGAAATTTCCGACACCTCCTTTCCTTTATGTACATTGAACAAACCTAAGTTTATGCGATGACGTTGCGAATAATACATATGCAGAATGATGGCGAAAGGAACACAAATACATTACCCGAAGTGAATCTTTAACACGTTCACGACTTGAAATCGGTATGTCGATCCCACCATAAAGCTTTCCCGAAATACGCTAAAGTGCACAAACAAGCTTAACAGCTGTAGGATGGCCTATCTCACAACATCTAGATTTCACCGTCTCATGCAGCTGAGACGAAGACCAGTGGTAGCTGCTTATTAGAACCAGTGGTACGAAGCTTATACCATGGATGAATACCAGGGGTAATTCTCAAATATTCTCGTTGATAAGTGACATTTGCTATTAGCAGAGTGTCCGCACTAACAACTCGTCCACTGCCAGGATTGGCTACATATTTGCCTCCCGAACATATTTAGCGTTAGAGGCTTCAAAAAATACGGGCCTAGGACCCGTATTCACAGAGGTAGCTGGTCAAAGGCAGGGAGAAAAGTGGTTCGATTCCATTTTCATAATCACAAACTTCTTTTATAAAAGCTTTTCCATATGGCGTTCATTAGCCTCCAGGAAAACAAGTGGCTACGGATATAAAAAGGTAATTATTTTGGATATGGCCAATCGCAAACACCACTTATATCAGAGATAACTTGTGGATACGGGCATAGCAGATAGGAGTTGAAACAGTTGCAGTATTTTCGCTTTTATTCTTACACACAAGTTGCGTCGTGCCCTTCGTCATACGAACGAAGCTCAAATCGAAACTGGGTGTTTAATATTTTGTATTTCTAAGAATGTTTATGCTCCCGGTAGTAATATTTTAATTATTCAAAATAGTTTCTTTTAATACGACATACTTTTCACAAATTTCGGTAGTGCCTATAAAATCCAGCAGCACAGAGGGATTTCTACAGGCACGCAACAAGGAACACACATCATCTTTAAGCTGATCGTCACTCCTGCAGCCTTGACTTCCCCGAACTCATTCAATGGTCCAAAGAAAACTAAGGTCACACAGAAAGAGATCGATACCAAACGGCTAACATTGCAGTATGTCCGAGCCGATATCACGCAAAGAGCACGTTGTGCTGTGTAATGTACTACTGCACGTATTGTATATGGCATTCACTGTCCAATAGAACGCCCATCGTAATCAAGTTTTCTCCAGAATGCACCTTGTACATGTCATAAAACATCACGGTCAATGTCATTCGGGAGCAAATCAGCATATAAAAGACGCTAAATTCATCCGAGAAATGTTGTCTTCATAGAAGGGTGACGGCTGGGGCTGTATATAGTTAGTATGTCATGATTATTGCTATGTATAGCGCGTACTGAGGACTAGGAAATGGAGACATTCCAGGTTTTCGTCACATATACTTTATTGTTCTACACAATAAACTTAGTAGGTAACTATCGCTCGCCCTCGTGTGCCGCCTTGTCCTAGTCCTCAGTTTAACAATCATCATGTCGTCACGGGTTCTCTATCGACGAGAAACCTCATCCAATATTGTCTCCACTGGCATCCGATAGCTCCGAATGAAAATGTCTTGTCTGGTGCGAAGATACATCAGTGCACCCTGACAGAAATCTGACGAGTGCATTGTGAAAGGATACGGATGTCACTCATGGTTTTGACTTGAGCAGCTCTCTCACGAAGACACCAGCGTACTCGAGTGGGGCACACATCACTCACCTGATATCTTTGGATGGAGCCGAGAAGCAACTCGATACGGAATCCTGGGAGAAGCACGACAGTGGCACCTTCCGCCAGAGCTACCAGCGTGAAAAACACACCCGACAGGTGCGTGCAGGGCATCCATTGGGCGAGCACGTCTGTGTAGTGTAGAATCTGCTCGCCGTTGGTCCTGGGTCAATACAAGCACCACCACTGTTTGATTTTGGTTCCACACGGGCATCATTAAAGGTAACAAAGCCGCATACTTGAGCAAGTGGTGTTTTATATACAAAGAAATAAAAGCAGTTAGAGAGATGCATGCGCCAAATGTACGAGGGTTGACAGATCGGATGTCGTGGTGGTGGTGGTGATGGCCTATATGTATGGCTCACACCCACTATGAAGGATTGGCCGTTAAAAAAAGACCAAACTGTTATAATAATAATAATAATAATAATAATAATAATAATAATAATAATAATAATAATAATAATAATAATAATAATAATAATAATAATAATAATAATAATAATTTGTAGTAGTAGTAGTAGTAGTAGTAGTTATTGTGCCCAAAAAAAACATAAAGTCTTTTCTTAGGCACACGCAAAAATAACACAATAAAAATAAACAATACAATACACTCTACAGAAAAATAAAATAAAAAGAGCGTAAACACTCAGACAAAAAAATCTGCGCAAAGTGGGAAAAATAAATAACACGACGACAATCATGGAAGAGCATGAAAAATAAAGGGGAATATGCACAACTATGTGTAAGGCTTCCTGAAAAACGGAAAAGGGAAGAATATGCACGTTATGAAAAATTATCTTGAGACAGTGGAAAGTTGAGATGAAAATAATGATAGTGGACTGTGAAAAACATCCAGATCCTGAAAATAACGTTATATGAACTTTGTATTCTGTGTATACAGTGGAGTGTTAAAGAAAGTTGTCAGGTACATGAAAAGCTCGATTCTCTCTGGTTAAATTACGCGGAATCCAAAAATTTACGCAACTGAGAAGCAAAGGCCAGGATATAATACCGTGAACTAGGTTGTAAAGAAATGAAATGTCAGTGCGATTTCGTCGGCAGTGAAGTGAAGGCAATGATAACGAGACCTGAAGTCACGTCTAGCAAAATGATGGTTGTAAATGCTTATGATTTTTTTCTGTACTCGCTCAATGGCGTCACTGCGATGCCATTCCAGGTCACAGATGTATACACCAGAACACAGCGAGCTCAGTGCTTGCTGCCATGTTGAAAAGGGCGTGGCGCCGTCTGTTGCAAGCGCGGCGAAGCAACACTCTCAGCTGCCAGGCGAGCAGACGCTCTTCAAATCAAACGAGAAACTTCACAACTCGAGCCCGGCCGTAAGCATGTTTCGCGCTGTTCCTGTGCTCGAATTTTATGCTGATTTTGCGCGAAACGTCGAGGAGACCTTCCTCGACAGTCCGAAATGTCTGCAGCACGTGCATTGCAGACTACGGAAGCAGCTTCATCCGGTACGTACTATTGCGATTGAAAGATACGCGAACAGCGGAAAGCGTTGCTTTCGACTCAGTCGAACTGCGGCGTGCCTTGGCTGTGACAAGGCAGAATTTGTGCTGTAAGATGGCGTCAACGTAGCGCTAGAATCTGGTGCCAACTTACGCTCATGCACCGCATGTGTATCAATTGCCAGTCCTGCCGGGCACTCAGAACACACACGCGCTGCATAAGTGCCAGCCAGAACAATATATTAAAATGCTACGGTGACGCCGGCCAAAAGCACGTGTCGATTTGCCTAGTGACTGTCACGGCATGTCGCAGTTCAACAAGTCATGCTTTCTGTGCCGTTCACGCATCGCGATAGTAGGCCATTGCAGTTGTACTAAACATGCGTGGTGCGTGCATCCTCGTGTGAGTCGTAATACGCATATCCTATTATACACATGCAGCCTGCGAAAGAGTACGGCAATAGTTTTTTCCGCATACTACAGGCATACTGCACGCAAATCGCTGCTGTAAAGTGGAACAGCTGAAGGCCTGCTTGAATAAACACAATGATATGGTATACTTATTCGTACACTTCACTGGGCTGGTAGTCTTTCCTGCTGTTGCGATTATATCCTAAGGCGGCGGAGCTCGGCGTTTTTCGTTGTGGACGGAAATCTGTGCAATCGCCAAACACCGCAGGCACGATTCCCGCGATGCGCTGTGAACTTCACAAGCAGTGCTCAGCAATCTCTTCCTCTTGCGCTGGTTGTTGTTGCATCAGATGACAGTGCAGTGGTACCCGGATGACATTTTATAAGCGGACGCAGCGTGAACAGGCGCTTTTTCGCATTTTAAATTCGTCCCAGAGCCACTGCATTCCATGCTATTGCGAGGCGCGCCTTGGCAGTTGCAAACAAATCATGCGTCTCTGGGAGCGAGGGTATACCGCCGAAGGCGCCTGGGTGTGAGATAGGCGTGCTCTCGTCTATACTCCAGTTGAAGAAGACATATGGCGGGGTACAATTTCTGGAAGGCTGTAGGAGAACTGAATCCTCGAGAGATTCTGCCAACACAATCGAGAGAACGAAGGCCTCGCGTGGCAGCACGTTTAGTGGGAGCAGAAAAATTGAACAAACTACCAAAAAGAACACCAAGATCAGTGAAATCATAAATCTTACATAACGACACGGTATTGACAGAGTATGGAAATGACACGTTGTATGTTTTGCGAGACATACTCATGTACTTGGTCTTTGAGGTATTCAGGGAAATGTCATTATTGTCACACCATTCAGAGCAAGAACACAAATCGGACTGCAGCGAGCGACAGTCGTTAACTGAATGAATATTTCCAAAATATCTTGATGTCATTAGCATACAAGAGAAAAGAAGAATAACAAATTGCGAAAAATACATGGTGAACGTAAATTAAAAATAAGAGTTGGCCTATTACCAACCTTTGAGGGGCTCCATTAGTCACTTTACGGAAGGAGGACGTTCGGACATTTATAGCAACACAACATGATCTATTAAGCAGATAACTGTGCAGGAGATTTACAAGAGATGAGTCAACACAAAAGTTTGCAAGTTTAATTAAAATCAGTGAGTAGCTGAGTACGTCGAAAGCCTTGCTCAGGTCACAGTAGACTACGTCAACCGGTCCTCTCTGAGAAATAGTGAAGATATTCGCGTCATGAAACTATCAAGGTTTGTGGTAGTTGAGCGGCGAGGAAGAAACCCGTGTTGATTGAGAATTAACAAATTATTCACGCTAACATAAAATATGTTGTAGAGCCAGCTAAAAGATCTTCGATATTGCACACGGTATAGAAATCGGGCGATAATTAGAAACATCAGTTTTGCAGCCCGACTGAAATACTGCAAAAATACGTGCAGTTTTTCCACATGCTTGGAAATGTGGAAGTATTTTGACAGCTAGCAGGAGATAGTGTTTGGAGTCCAAGGCATCGCTTACCCACTCTGGACGATCTGGCTGACGAAGTTGAAGTGCGAGGAGACGACCCCCTTGGGAAGGCCTGTTGTGCCGCTCGAGTAGAGCACGCTCATTGGTGTGTCCCGAGGGTCCGTTCGCGGTGGTCGACCGCCGCCCTCGTCCGTCCCGGCAACGCGTCCCTCTTCTAGCAGCTCGCTCAGGGTAGTATAGTCGGCGCTTTCACCGAAAAGGAAAACGTCCTAGGCACCAGGCGTGGATAGGACGCGAGATGTGAGATCAATCCTTTGGATTTGAATAACCGTGATGCAAAACGCAATGTTTCCAGTGCCTCAAGGAAGGGTTAGAGCAGTGTACAAGATCACGCGTTCGACGCATATCCTGTAATGCTACTCTCACGGTACCGTAGCTAAAGCTAAAATACCCTATTTTAGACTTGGTTACTTAGGATATCACTTTGGAAACCACCAGGTGCGGCATAAGTAGCTCCTCGCTGACTGATGACGTTGATTCCCACATTATGTGGAATCTGCTATAATTTTATTTCTTTTGAAATGGTTTCTACGAATACATAAACATGCTGCTGGCCATGACGAAACGAAGGTGTAGCGCTGCCATGACGTTCAGTGCAAGCAAAAACAAATCTAAGACCTTTATACATAGCATCAATTTTCTGTGAAAGACGAAATGACACAAATGTCTAGGTTCTCAATTATGTGGGGAAACATGCACCTGTAAAGTTGCGAAGACCATAAAGACGAAGTGTTCTTTTTATTTTTCACTGCATCTTCTGTAAGAACTGATGGAGTTCACGTGTAGTAGTCCTAACATTATTCGTAATTACGTACAAGGTCTGTCAAAGGTTCCCAAGCCACGCTGATATAGGAATACGTTGGATAGTAACCTGAGAACTTTAGATTTTTTTAACGGACCCTATACATAGTCCATCATGCAACGTTTAGACAAGAAGTTTCAAGTAGTTTGACAAAGGTGTTGACGCAAGCTCTTCACAACGTGTCTCCCAACACAAACAACGTGTTGGTACCATATGTATATAGCAATGTGGGGGAGGGGGGGGGGGGCTTCTCTTGACATTTCCTGTAACAAGTATTTGGCATAATTATTGCTCAGCCAAGCAATCTGAACAAACACGTGAATATATGTCTTTTCACTGCCGCGTACTAATTTTAGTCTCGTGCTTGCAAAGGTGCAGTGCGTGAGGTGCCTTCTCGCGATCGCAGCCCGATAAGGCGCATCTGTGATTCTTTCGCCGCAAACGAATCGAGCATCCGTAACATGCCCGTTCTGCTCGGTACCTACAACAGGAGTGCCGTGGCGCAGTAGTAAAACCACACTGCTGTAATATGAGAGTTATGCACTAGAACCATGCTTGGAGACTGCTAGCGTTTGCCTGGCGAACGGAAATTTTTGCTAATGAATATCGAAATACAAACGTCATGACCCATAAGCAATGACACCACGCTGAATACAACCTAAATGGTTATCGCATTTAAACTTAGTTAGAAAGCGTTAGCTTGCGCGATATGTCTTTACTGTACCTTCATCGTAAGCTGCAATAGAGAGGCAACACAATTCGTACGTTAATGGCTAGGAACATTTTTCATAGATTACAGGTAGTGTTGACCAGACCTACAAGCCACCTGTTCCATCTTTTGGTAGACAAATTTAGATTGTATTTTGGCACCTCCAAGTGGCGCAAGTTGTAGCTCTAAATTATTTTTTTTCTTCTATAGCCATAGCAAATGGAACATTTGAAAATTTTGTGCTTTCGAAATGCATCGAGAATTGTGAGAATCAGTTTAGGGAAGTTACGAGACATATCAAGCGTTATTTTTGCAAGTTTTATGGATGAGAGTCCTAAAATAACTGTTATGTATACTAACGAATACAAAAGCTAGGGTCTTTTATTATATAGGTAGAGAAAATTTGGGTACCCGAAAATTTTGCCTTTAGGAGTTGAACGCGATAGCGACATCCTTTTTTTAGTGCGTACTTCGAACCCTCAGTGCATGAAACTTTTTCAAATTTGCTATGCAATTTGCTATGCTTTTGCTATTACGTGGCCTTAAGAGAATAGGTGCAGTAGCATGTGTGCCTTTTATAGTAGGTGACCGGCTTTCAACCACGGAGTCATTATAATTAACTCACATTCTGACGCCCTTTGGCAATGCACGCTTGTAACACGCAATTTTACTGCAATATTTTGTGTTGCATTGCAGATCATGTATACAGGACGCGTCTGTTTAAAAGCAGAGGAAGTTATTTTAAAGCAGAGGAAGTTATTTTCACTGATTCCACAAGCAGAAGCGTGGCCATGTGGTAGAACATTCGCTTGCCACTCGAACGACCCAGGTTTGTTCCCCACTCAAACCTAAACAACCCTGGATCACCCCCCACTCTGCTACAGGTTTTTTATATGATATTTATTTTGTTTGCATTGTTATCGAGTTTTCGGTAACGCATAAGGTGATGATTTTTCACTCACAACCGCCGACACCAACACCGGAATTTCTGCTAAGAGCTCTTTAACGCTATCGCGTTAAAATGCGCTGTTTGTATATATATAGTAAGCTGCTCACATCAACGGACAACTTGCCTGAATACTGGGCACGGATTCCTTGCACTCCTCAACCTTGGGCACAAGCTCTTGCTCGGTGACTACAAACTGAGGTCGCGAGTCATCTAGTTGGTAGAGCAGCTCTCCTGCAGGGATGTATGCGCAACAGTCTAGTAGTTTACCAAGCACAATAAAGAGACACAACAAAGACTGCACATTCGAGAGCCAATGGCTATACTAGGCAAATCCAATTCCATGTTCCGATTATCTCATGGCATACAAAATCCAGAGATACGAACGAACGAGGGTTTATGGAAGCATACTTAAGCACCATTCAACAATTGTAACTTTGCATCCAACACGGTGGTCTAGCGGTTATACTGCTTGACAGCTGGCCCGCAGATCGCGGGATCAAATTCCTGCCACGCCGACCACATTTTCTACAGAGACGAAAATACTCAAGGCCCGTGTACTTAGGTATGAATGCACGTTAAAGAACCGCAGGTGGTTGAAATTTCCGGAGCCCTACAGTACTGCGTCTCTTGTAATCATATCGTTGTTTTCAAATGGTAACTTCAATTATTCATTAGCTATAGTTGTCACTGCGTTCTTCCGTAAGAGAATTCATGCACCTCGTTTCAAATGAGAGCGGAAGTTCTGTTGCGTGTCTAATGCGCAACTTTAAAACAACCCTTCTCGACCCACGTCTCGATGACGCTGATCTGCTTGATCGCCACGAGTCCCGAAATTAACACGGATTTTCTGGTATAATTTTCACAATGAATAAAAGATATGATTTCGTGATGACATTCATCTAATGTGACCCGATAGAGCAATTTCATGAATTAAGATAGAAAACTATTACCCACCATTCTGCCCTGTGAACGTAAATGTCCAGCGAAGCTGTATCAAATTCACACATTTTTTTTTGGGGGGGGGGGGGGCTGTTTTACAATTACTTTAGAGTAATGGTAGTGATAATTGCTTTGTCGTCGCTGTGGTAAGCCGTGATCGTTTCCGCGACCATTTTAAGCAAGACGAATTTGTTCCATCTGTCGAGCATTTTATTCCCGCTGTTCTTGTGGTGTGTTTAATTTTCGTGGTCTACCCATGGCAATTAATGTAATGAGTTGGTAGACGGCTCTCTCTTTTATACATGAAAGTGGGAAACACACACAGGCAGAAGAAAGGGCAGTTTGACGACATTCGAAGCCCTCGAGTGAAGCAGAAAACAACCAAAACCTAATCTTTACCGGAACGTTTAGAGGCTGTTCTGAATGTTAATTGGCGCCACAGCATGAACTTCTGAGGCTACTTTTGTGGTTTTAGCAAAAAAAAATTTAGAGCTACATGTCTGCTGTATGGCGGATTACAAAGAAATATGTCCCGTTTGCCTGCAATTGTTTAACGACTTCTAAGCCACCCACATGTCTAAATTTAGTTGCGGCGTTTAAGTTGTCCATAAGTCTACATCGAATGCATTTGTCAGCTCGCCAATTGACATCTAGAAATGTCTTTCTTCGGCGTCTGAGGCAAAAACTCAACAGGCGCGTGCATTTGCTAGTAGAGGATCATAATAATTTACAGGCTACAGCACTAAGCACTCGAAGAAACAGAAGAAACAGTTTCGGCGGATGTCCATGATTGATAAAACCACGTCAACCTAATGGTATAAAGAAATATACACCACTAGGTTAACAATTACTTTATGGTAAATATTACAATTGACTAATTGTAGCAGGTGAGTTTGCGAGGCCTATTGATCAATAAATAGGTATGCGTGTGAATTGAATGCCTAAGCATCCGAGTAAAAATGTACTGTTATTTCTATTCGCGTAACAACACACGGTTTGTGCGTCAAAGCACAGAACTAACCGGAAAGCCTGTGCATTGCCTCGCCAACTCCGCGAATCTCTCAAAATTTGTGTCGCTCTCAAAAGTCTCTACAGCGCATATGTACTGCAGTAAACCTAATTGTGAAGTTAATTTGCGAATATCAGTTAGTTACTAATGTAAATGTCACACTCTAAATATATATATATATATATATATATATATATATATATATATATATATATATATATATATATATATATATATATATATATATATATATATATATATATATATATATATATATATATATATATATATATATTGACACGTTTGTGCATGAAAAAAACGACGATATGAATGTTATCTAGATTCCAGCTATTCAGACAGGCGGTTTTCGGGACGACAACGAAGCAGGCGTCCTGCTGTACAGCTTATCCTGAAGACGCTCTTTTCGCTGCCGTAAGCTGCTGTCATCTTTTGTTCGCGTTGCACTGCGACACTAGTGGAGGAGCTGGGCCGCGACGCTGCCCGATGCTTCACACCGCTAGTGAGAGCCGTTCATCCAGCCCGGACGTGTCTATTACAACCCCTGTCCATCGATTCAGTCGTTGGCTACGAGGTCTTCCTCCAGAGTTCAACCCCTCGCAGAAGCCCTCTACAAGACATCTAGAAATGGCTAACACCAGCCCCCAGCCTGTACTTCTCGGCACCAGTCTTCCTGCTCCATCTCAGGTAACGTTTTTTCAATCGCTGGAGCCTGAACACTTTGGTGGTGGCACACACGAAGATGTAGAAGACTGGTTAGATCACTATGACCGTGTTGCGAAGATCAACCAGTGGTCTGCTCAGGAAAAGCTCGGCCAGACCTACTTCTATCTTGATGACAGCGCTCGTACTTGGTACGAGAACAGGGAAGGCAGCCTGTCCACATGGACTGACCTTCACCAGCAGATTGTTGAAACTTTTGCCAATGTCGACAGACGTGACCGCGGCCACCAACTAGTAGAGCTAAGGGTCCAAAAACCCAATGAAACGGTCGCCATGTTCGTCGAAGACATGACATGTTTATTTCGGAGGGCTGACCCGCAGATGACCGAAGATAGGAAGCTGCGCTACCTCCTGCGTGGCGTGAAAAAGCAGCTGTTCGCCAGACTTTTGCACAACCCGCCAAGCACTGCACAGAACTTCATCAAAGAAGCATCGGCTATCGAGCGGGCACTTCACCAACGCTGCCGACAATATGGCCGCTTGTGCAGCAGCCCCCAAATTCATGCCGCCGCTGGGACGTTTGACAATCATAGCTCCTTGCGTGACATGACAAAACGAGCCCTTAGGTATACACTTCTTTTCTTATTCATTAAAGAGGGCCTCGTACTGGCAGACTTAGTGCCTTTAGGTTGTATACGAGGGACTATTGGTCAGCCGCCCACTCGTGCCATGTTCACGTGCTACGCGACGCCAAACAGGCTCAAAAGAGTGTGCCACACTCGCCGCCATGGCTACTGGTGGCGCTGGCTGACACTCCCACGTTTAATTCACATATAAACCCTATAAAGTGACTGGGGGGATAGCTGTCGTGGTAGCTCGGTGGTAGAGCATCGAACGCGTCATTCGAAAGTCGCAGGTTCGGATCCTGCCCATGGCAAGTTATCTTTTCACCCACTTTTCTTTACATTTACATAACAATTTGGTCTAATATCTTCCCCTATACTTTCCTTGGCATTATTGTCTGTTAGATCTCATTAATATTGTGTAAAAACATGAAAAAACGAGCCCTTAGGTATACACTTATTTCCATATTCATTAACGAGGGTCTCGTACTGGCAGACTTAGTGCCTTAAGGTTGTATACGAGGGACTATTGGTCACCTGCCCACTCGTAACAAGTTCACGTACTACGTGACGCCAAACAGGCTCAAAAGAGTGTGCCACACTCGCCGCCATGGCTACTGGTGGCGCTGACTGACACTCCCACGTTTAATTCACATATAAACCCTATAAAGTGGCTGGTGTGATAGCTGTCGTGGTAGCTCGGTGGTAGAGCATCGAACGCGTCATTCGAAGGTCGCAGGTTCGGATCATGCCCACGGCAGGTTATCTTTTTACACACTTTTCTTTACATTTACATAACAATTTCGTCTAATATCTTCCCCTATACTTTCCTTGGCATTATTGTCTGCTAGATCTCATTATTATTGTGTAAAAACACGAAAAAAAAACGAGCCCTTAGGTATACACTTATTTCCTTATTCATTAACGAGGGTCTCGTACTGGCAGACTTAGTGCCTTAAGGTTGTATACGAGGGACTATTGGTCACCTGCCCACTCGTAACAAGTTCACGTACTACGTGACGCCAAACAGGCTCAAAAGAGTGTGCCACACTCGCCGCCATGGCTACTGGTGGCGCTGACTGACACTCCCACGTTTAATTCACATATAAACCCTATAAAGTGGCTGGTGTGATAGCTGTCCTGGTAGCTCGGTGGTAGAGCATCGAACGCATTATTCGAAGGTCACAGGTTCGGATCCTGCCCACGGAAAGTTATCTTTTCACCCACTTTTCTTTACATTTACATAAAAATTTAGTCTAATATCTTCCCCTACACTTTCCTTGGCATTGTTGTCTGTTAGATCTCATTAATATTGTGTAAAAACACGAAAAAACGAGCCCTTAGGTATACACTTATTTCCTTATATATATATATATATTGTAGCGAAGCCTCCGAACGCTGAAATGGGTCTAACTCTTGAATACCTTCTAGTGGGACTACCCAACAAGGACGCCGCTCGCGCTGGGAGCCCGTGCTTGGCTGTGACTGTCGCCATTACATATTCTCGCTCGTTGCCGGCTAGTAAACGCCTTAACAATTTGGTGGAGAGTGCTGCGATCCCTGTCTATGCCTTTGGAGCTACGATCACGTACCCTGCCATCTACTATGTACCACGACGCTTCTCAGCAAACGCCTCCTCCAATGCCACCCCCTTGTCCCGGTGTCCCCAGAATCCGCGATCCACCCATCTTCACTGGCGCTGATGGCACTGACGTGGAGGACTGGCTCGCTATTTACGAGCGCGTGAGCGTCCCCAACAAATGGGACGAGGACGGCAAGCTGACCAACTTGGTATTCTACCTTACGGGTGTTGCCAGTTTGTGGTATAACAACCACGCGTCCGATTTTGCCACCTGGTCCGATTTCAAGACCGCAATCATCAACGTCTTCGGCCGCCCTGCTGTTCGCAAGCTGCAAGCCGAGCAGCGCTTGCGTGAACGTGCTCAGGAGGCTGGTGAGTCATTCACGAGCTATATTGA